TTGGTTTTGAGCTCCTGAATCTTCCTGCCTTTACTTCCCAGAGTGCTGGAATTACAGGCATGTACCACCTTGCCTAGCTAGTGATCAGCTCTTAAAAAAGATTTTTTTTTTTTAATTATTTTATTTCTCTGAGACGAGGGTTCAGGTTTTTAGCCCTGGCTATCCTAGGACTTACTCTGTAGACCAGGTTGGCCTCAAACTCAGAGATCTGCCTGCCTGTGCCTCCCTTATCGAAGGCGTGCACCACTACTCCTTGGCAAAAAAATTATGTATTTTTATTATTTAAAAATTATATGTACGTTTCTATCCGTGTGTACGTGGTGTGCCTGTAAGTGTAGGTGCCCTCAGAGGCCAGAAGGGGGTGTTGGGTCCCCTGGAGCTGGGGCTTACAGGTGCCTGTGAGCTGACCTCCTTGGATTCTGGGAACTGAATGCCAGTCCTCTGCAGCCACAGCAAATATTCTCAAGTGCTACTTCTCCAGAGCCACCTCTCCAGACCCAATAATCATCCTTTTTTCTTAAGTTTGCAGAAACTTTCCCAAATCCTGACCTCTTCTGAGCCGCCAAACTCATGTCTGGAGGAGATTTCCTCCTCACCCACCAGGCTGTGGGCTTAGACAACGCTGACAGGGAGCCTCGAATGTGATTTCCTATCTCTCCCCTTATTCTGTCCTCAGGCCTTTGACATGGACAGTAAGTAATACCCTCGCTGCCCAGGCAGGACACGGGAGGCTCTCTGCCAGCAAAGCAGTGAAGACTTGGAAACCAGGTCTTTGGGTGCTGGAATTTGCACCCCTCCCAGGAAGCCCCTGATGCCCTTAGGGGAAAATTCCTGCCCAAGTCAGTGCTGACATGGGGCTGGCCAAGGTTTCCTGCAGAGCTGGTGGAGATTTTGATGGAAGACTCTCCATAGGATTCCCTGGACTGCGCTGGGGGGCAGGAGGGGGAAGGGTTGGATACTAGGCTTACATCCCAACAGGCTCAGAGGGGAGGAGGCCATAGCCTCCAGCAGCTGCGAGGAACACCATCACACCACCAATAGAGCTGAGAACCAGCCAGAGGAAACCAGATACCCTGGCGTCCTTGGCAGGCACAGTTTTCTTGGGTTGAGCTCACTGCCTTCCAGTCCCTCTCTTTCAACTGCCACCTTCTGAAGGCCTGGCTGTCTCCACAGTCCTCACCAGTTTGTGGGAGAGGAAGAAGTGGCCTAGTCCTCCACCGGCCCTGTTCATCTCACCGTCCTTGCTGAATGTGGCAGTCCCCAGTGGAATGACATGTTCCCTGACCCAGGAAGAGTGGGTGGTGAGGGGGGGTTCGACGCTTGCTTAGTGAACCACTCTCAAGCAAGGTGCAGCCTGGTGAGTGGCCCTCAGATCTGGTCAGCTGGAGGCCTATCTTATGGCAGCCTGGGAGCCTGGAGGGTGGGTGCACAGGAAGTCCCTCAGGAGGGGATGCGACCCTCCAGCCGAATTTAAGGAAGTCGTGTCTCAGGAAGAGGCTCCGGGAGGAGGGTTTTTACAACAGTGTTAGCCCCACAGGATATACGGTTTTGTTTATGTTTGGGTTATTACTCTGAGCTCAGGGCAGCGTTTTCGTTTGCTACATAAACAGGTTCTGAGACAAAGGGGCTGGCAAGGAGAGGTTGAGGCCAGGGTGGATGTGCGAACCGTCACGGTCATTCTGGGATCTGGCGGTTCGGGACTTCCAGGTGGAAGAAGCTCTGGTGGGTGGGGCTTTGCCGGGGGAGTGGACTAAGCTAATCCTACTGTGGGTGGCGTCAGTTTCTTATCTCTTCAACCCAGCCCAGGGCTACTCCAGGCCTGGGGTGTTTTACTCTCCCCCAGGTCCCCTGGTGTCCTGTCCTATCAGAATACACACGGGTACGGAACCTGTGCTGGATTCTGGAGACACACAGTCGATTCAGATTTAGATCTTACCCTTCTGTCTGCTGGGGGAAGACAGACAGCAAACAAGTGGCTTAGACAATGGGAAGGATGGAAGGGGGTCGACCGTGTAGGTTCAGCTGAGCAGGACAGGAGCAGGGGTTTTGGAAGGAGATATCAGTGGAGGAATGTTAGCTTTTGAAGAACAGCGAGAGCCGGGGCCTGGCCTGAGAGGCATTCCAGGTAGAGGGGTCAGCCCAAGCATGTGCTTCAAGGGAGGGAGGTGGACCCAGTGGGAAAGAAAGGCCACCTATGGGTGTTCGGGCCTGCTTCAGACAACTAGATTCTGGATACCTGCCAGCTGCAGTGTGCTAGCTTGGGCTGCTGAAAGCTTGGGCTATCAGGGAACCCCTTCTCTCCTCCGCTGAGGCCTAAGATACCCCCCCTCTGGTCTCTGGCTAGGTCCTCTCAGTAGGTCCTACCCACTTGGAGCCTCACTCTGTTAAGCCTCCACAAAGGGCTGACCATGGGGACTCTGAACACCCCCCCCTTCTGCTCACATGCCCTTTTGCAAGGAGGAACCACGCCTTTTGCAAGGCAGGAACATCAGACTATCAAGAGATTAAAAGACCCCTCCCCCTAAAAAAACCTTAGCCAGCTGACAGGCAAGAAAGTGGACCGCATAAGTGGCTCCAAGGCAACAGAGCCCTGGGGCTGCTAGGCATGGCCGACCCCTTGGCAGGAGGTCCCTGAAGGGCAGTGCCTTTGCTCCCCCGAGACCCAACTGGTCCTCCTAATCTGCGGGCCTTGCAGACACGGATGAGTCAGTAGTCTCCTGAGTCAGTGTGTTGACAAGCCATCCCTGGCCATTCCTAGCACATCCAAAATGGAAGGAAGTCCGAAGGAAGGGTATGAGCAGACCCATTTAATTAGTGCGGGCTCTGGGTACCTTAAGTTGGCCCTATTACATTAAACTGCCTAGGGGAAAAATAGCTGTAATTATTTCCTTTTCTCCCCTACCTCTCTATTTCAACTCCCAACCTCCACGCTTCTGCCCTCCTTGACAAAACAACCTTTAAACTAGGGGCTGGTACAAAACCCCCCCCCCCCCCCCCCCAACTAGGGCTCAGTGTTTCCCTTTTTCTGCTTGCCTTCTGTCTGAGCTCTGGTTCCTAGCAGAGAGTCCAGAGGGGTCCACGGTGCGTGGCTAGATTCTAATTTAGGGAGGCTGTTACAAGAGAACAGTATCCCAAAAAAAACGCACCCTGAGTCTCCTTCCAGAGCCAGTGCCGATCCGTTTGCTGCGGGGCATTTCTTTTAAAAGCCCCTTTTCTCTCTTCTGCACAGCAAAATAAGCAAACTTTAATGGTAGGGAATTATTGTTTATTTTGTTGAAATCTAGTTCTGAGTTTTCCTACTTGAAACGTGTTTTCCCCAGGACACTGACCTATCCTTTAATTGTTTGGTGCGAGGCATGTTAGGGGGAGGGGCGTTACTTGTTTATTGGAACAGCGCAGTTAAAAAAAAAAAAAAATCAACCTAGGCTAACAGTTTCAAGGCTCCCCTAAAGATGTATCCAAACAGGCAGCCAATCAGCGCTTACACAGCTTTTTCTGCTTGACTCTTTTAAAGAGACAGTGCCGACAATGTTTTATCACATTTAAAGAGAACCGCGCTCTAAAAACAGTATGAAAATTGGGGAGCTATCCCTTCATTCACCAGTTTCTCATCTGGAGTCCCCAATGAGAGTACACTGCAGGTTTTTGGGAAACTCGAGTGGACAGAAAGGAGTCGGGAGCAAATAGCTTGGTCACTCTGCCAACCCCCCATTTCCCATTGTACACCTGGGTCATTGACAATGGAAGCTTCCCCTCCCCCTACTTTAGTGCCCCACTCCCCAATTTAGCTCCATTTATTTGAAGTTTGAGATTTCTGCGGCGCGCATTCCGAGTCCCGAGGCGCCCAGGTGACGTCCCTCACCCAAACGGAACCCGTTTCCGTGGAGAAGGCGAGGGGCGAACTTGCCAGGGTTAGCAAACCTCCGAGATTTGGGAGAAATCACTCTCCTTCCTTCTAGTCCGAGACCCCTTTCCCCTCCTGCAACACTCCCGGAGCACGCCAAGGGCCATTTTCCGCGCGACTCCACTTTGGGGTTTCCCAAAGTATTTTAACGATCTAGTCAAGAAGCAGCCGCGCGCTTTGGCGCCAGCTTCGGCCGCCCAGCTCCGCGTGCAGCCCTGGCCGGGGCTCGGGGCGCAGGGCTGGGCGCAGGCAGCCCAGGGTGGGGCGGGGAGCAGGGCCCGCCAGGGTCCTGGCCCAGGGAGGGCAAGATCAGCGCGGGGTGGAGGGGGGCGGCGGTGGCGCTGGGGGGCCAGGGCGACGGGAAAAGGGGCGCGCCTGGCCAGCCGGGGTCCGCGCCTCTCTCCGCGGCTGCTGCCGCAGCGCCCGGTGCCCGCCGCGCCGGCCCGGTGCCCCCGTCCAGGCCCGAGCCCCTCGCGCCGCCGCCCCACCCCAGCGCCAGGGCTCGCCCCCAGCTCCCCCGGCCGGCGCTCGAGCGGGCAGCGGCTC